AATTAAGATACAGCTAGTGTTAACTGATGCTCTGAAATATACTTCACAACTTTCCTCAGACTGAATTTCTACTAATTCACCTGTTATGTAATTCCTTAAGTTCAGACACAAATTTCATAGGGTGAAGCTGCTCAAAAACACAAAATCTATTATGTTTTAAAAACTGTTGTTTGATGAGCTCAGTTTTCTTGCTTTTATTTTTCTGAGTGTAGGATGTCCACGCAGCAATGCATATAGTCAAGCTTTTAAGGAAACATTTACAAACAATGTTGATAACTGCATTACTTCTTAACCGTGTTCAGAGCAGACTTACTTCTGTGAATAGATAAAGTGACCATACTGTGGTGAATGCATAAAAGATGTTGCAGAGAATGTTACACCTAACAGTGAAGAGCTGAAAGCTTTTCCTTCGGACCAGGAGCAAAAACAGGGCTGCTTACTTTCCCCACTTTTATTCAAGATAGTCCTGAAAAGTTTAGCTACAGCAATTAGGCAGAGAGAGAGAGAGAGAGAGAGAGAGAGAGAGAGAGAGAGAGAGAGAGAGAGAGGCAGACAGACAGGCAGAAACAGAGACAGAGGCAGAGATGGAGAGAGAGGGAGGAAGAAGAAAGGAGGAAAGAATTTGACATCTAAATCAGCAAAGCATTAGTTAAATGGTTTCTGTTTGCGAATGTCCTGATTTTCTGAAATATGACTTATCAAAAGCTGTTAAAACCAACAAAAATTTTAGAGAAATTTCCATATACAAAATTTACATTTGAGAAATCAGTAGTTGTTCTACACACTCCAGCACTGGAATAGTATGTGGGAAAAAATACTTAGGGATAAACTTAACCCAGGAAGTGCAAGATATGCTAACAACCATAAAATACTAACAAAAGAAGCTGAAGACATAGGGGAGTTCGTTTGTTTAGGGACAGACTCCTCTGAGGGACAGCCACACTCCTCAGGGTCGGCTGATATAATGAACGATAGAGAAAAAGCAAATGGTGGATTTTCCCTGTGTTGTTTTAAAACTTTGAAAGCTAAATTGACCGCTTTACGGGGAAAAGGAAGAATGTGAGAATTACAGTGAGACATTTTACCTTCCCTCTGTTTTGCACAAGTGAGACCCACTGGAGGCTTTGATAAGCTAAAGTTAAATAAATCTCTGCTACATTTGAACGAAAATATAAGAGAAGATTTTACTTGTTAATTTTTATCCAGCATAGCAAAAGCAAGTCCCAGAGTGCTGTCATCACAGGAGGACAGGAACAGGTTAATGGTGAGTTTATCGAAAAGTATTTAAAAAAATTAATCTAGATTAGCTAAAAACCTCCCTCTCTCCCAGCTCACTGTAGGTGTAAATGACCATCACGTGTGTGCATATGCAATTTTCAATTTCATGTAATTACTTACTTTTCCCAAATATTCCAAACTGTCTTAATACCTCCCTGGTTTGGTAGACAGGTAATCTTGGTATCTCCTGAAATCCTCATTATTCTACAATTCTAAATATCTTGAGTTTCATGTCAAGAAGGGCAAGGAATTAAGAATCTTGTCTTTCAAAAATGTTCTCAGGTTTGGTCAAGTGTGACAAGTGATAGATATATTATTAAGATCTATATGCCACTGATACATCCCAGCTCCTTCCAAAATAGTGAGAGAATACTCCAGTTGCTTGCAAATATAGTGAACTCATTACTGAGAAGCTGAGAATAGCTATCATACATCTGTTAAATATTTCATAAAGACAAGGCAAATAAAGCAGAAATTACCTAGTGGGAAAACAGGATACCCTCAAGGCAGCTAGAGGTTGACATTAATATTTGCTTTGAATAATTTATTTTCCTGCTTTCATCCAGAATATAAAAATGTATTCAAGGTCTTTAAAACGTTTTATCTTCAGTCAAAGCTGAACAAAAACTATAGAGCTCTATAAGAGATAATGATTTAGTACTGGCTTAATAAGCCATTCCATTTTCAATATTCTCACATTCCATTCTTCCAAATAATCCTCTTGTAAGATATGATATCTTTTATAGCACAGTACATTTAGATTTTTGCTCAGTATATACTAATTTTTATCCTAGAATAATGTTATCTCAGGAATACATTGTTCATCTTCCTGGTACACATTGTGTACATCACATAGCTCCTTATTTATCTAGGCATAGACATAGAGGTAAAATGTAGACTCTGGAGCATCTTTTTTCTGTTTGTTTATAACAGCTTTTTCTGGAATATCTTATTTTTTTATCGATTTCTCTCTGTCACACACAATGAAGTTGTTTGTGTTTCTTAAACTGCATGTGTTTTCTTGAACTTTGCAATTGTTTCTGATTCTGATAACTTTTAATCTCCTAATGTAAATACCTCATTTCTGAGAGTGTTTTATAGGTCATTCAGTGTTTGGAATAGAATAGTTTTTCAGCAAATTTTGCTCCTGATTCTATTGCCATTCCTACTGGCTTTACTATATATAATGCCACCTGATTTTCACTCCTGGGTTTTCCTTTACTTTAACATTTGTACTATTCCTAATTCTTCATTTTTTTGGGTATGGTCCAGATATTTCAATAGAAATGTCCCAGATCTTCTCCACATGCAAATGCATCCTCACAAATAATCATAAACATACTTAACATTCTATGCTTTATGCCTTTCCTGTGCTTAATTTAGGTTGACAGTTCTATGATCAAAATGCACTGCAGTTTGACTTATCCCAGCACAGAATTTTAGCTCAGTACAGAACAGTAACAAAGTGAAGATTGTGTAATGTTCATTTCTAGAAGCTCTTTTCATCCAGATACCACCTTCATCTATCACCCAGTAGTGACCACTTTTAGTTGTAGGTAAAATAGTTTGTACTCTAACATAGCAACCACACTGTGGCAGGTAAACTGTATCTGCTTATAAATATTCAACCTAATAATCTGGGATTAGCTCCAGTGACAGTTAAGCTGAGACATGAAAAAAATAAGTAGGGCAGGAAAAGCCTAAAGAAGAAAAAGTCATTCAAGCAGAGGAAAATGTCATGGCTATCAGGTTGAGGTATGTGTCATAGGGCAGGAAGAAAGTGACCAGCAAACATTTTTCAGCTGATAAAAGGTGCTAATATATTGCATCTGGAATGTCACGCGAAAGCCCACAAGCTGAAAGTGTGGTCTTCAGCTAGGCTCTCTTGGAAGGTAATAGAAACCCTGAAAAGGCGAGGCCAGTAGAGGCTGTAAGTCCTTGAGGGTGTTTCCACTACGGGGGATGTGGGATGTAGATCTCTTCCTCTCTGCTGCTTCCCTGCTCCATGAGAGGAATGGCTTTCTCTGTCACATACTCCTGCTGCGATGCTGCCTCACAACAGGCTACAGAGCAAAGCAACTAACCAACCTGGCTGAAACTGGAAGCCCAAATGTACGTTTTAAGTGGATTTTCTCTGGCAACAGCCTGGTCCTGTTGCTATCCTAAGCTTCCTCATGTCCATCTCAGTTCATGTGACATGCCATGCCATGTCACATACATGTGTATGCCTTTTACATGCATGGCATATCAAATTACCTGCACCCACTTTGCATTATTTCTATATAGAACATATTTCTGGCACTTCCAAATGTTTACCTCATTAATTTGTAGTACGTGCGCTAACATTGCATCACACAGGAAGCCACTATATTGCAATGGGCTTTGGTGAGAACTTTCAGCAAGTAACAAGAACACTGTGATATTTAGATTTTTCTGTATGGCTTCACCCTGACTATAATACAGGTTTTCTTTTTCCACTAGTAGCAAAGTTCTTTTTTTATTGAAGCCTTTTAAAATTTTTTTATTTTAAAGAGAATAAAATCAAATAAAATAACACAATAAAGCCAATCAATACAAAATAATGAAAGCAATACAGGACTTCAAAACAAGATAACTGAAAATCAACAATGGCTACCATAATGCCTTTTGTTATCTTCACAATACCTGTCCATATCATCAAATATTCTAAAATCAAAACAACAGAATAAAACCAATGAAAACAAAACAAAGTGATACAGGACATTAAACAAGACAATAGGAAATCAAACATGGTACCGTAATAGATCTCATTTTCTTCAAAATAGCTTCCCACACTATCAGACATAATAAAATCAAACAAAAAAAACCCAAATAATAAAAACAACACAGGACTTCAAAACAAGAGGAAGTTAATAATGGCTACCACTTTCCCTTCTTATACATTTCCTCCCCTTTCACTTTCACATTATCTGTTGTACATTTTGGATCCCACTAATTTAGGTTTTTGTACTAAGGAGACAACACAATGTTCACCCATATGAGTCCAAACCACTTCACCCAAAAGCATGATCACAAGTTGCATCCATTTACCTACAAGAGCCTCAAGATTATCCTTTATAGCTGAATAGATTTTTATTTTTATTTTAAAGGGGGTAAAATTAAACACAACAAAACAGAACAAAATAGGACATAAAAAAGCAATGTAATTGATATAAATTTCAAAGCTAGACAACCTGAGATCTTCACTATCTATCATATTGTCTCTTGTTTTCTTCCAAATAGTTGTCCATGTCTTTGCATACAGAGAATTCATACAAAATAACATAGTATAAAACTGATCTGAACATAATGAGGAAGGCGTTTTAGGTCTTTAAAACCAGACAATAGGGAAGTCACTAATGGCTGTCATAGAGTCTCTTGTTCTCTGTAAAATAGCTGTCCATACTTTCATGTATATTGAAGTTCAACGAAACAAAACAGGCAGGGGGTCGTTGCTTGGTTTCCTGGTGCTTCAGGTCCCAGCATGGCACAGATCTCAGTAAACGCTGGTGACTCCCTTCCTGGGCCACTGGAGCCTGCCACTGTCACAGCCACTCACCAAGGGGGTGGAGAGGTTGCTTGGTTTCCCGGCACTCCAGATTCCAGCATGGCGTGGGTCCCAGTAAATGCGTTGGCTCGCGTCCTGGGCTGACACAGCCTACCATGCTCACAGCCGCTCACCATGGTTGGGAGGGGTTGCTTCAAGCTGTTTCTTTCTAGTGAACTGACCATTTCATTGCCCAAGTTCTGAAATGGCCAACAGACCGTAGAAAGACATCTCTTTAAGCTCTTGCTTGAAACCAACAGCATCAGGAAGTTGCCAGCCTTGATTTAGGGCTAGACTAGTAGCAAATTTCATAAAGGGTTATGAATTATATTTCTGTCACTTATTAAATGTGTGACCTAATTTATCAGTTATGCAATATTTCCATATCTGTTTCCTCATCAATGAAATATGGATAATAGCAACTTACTTGATAATGTTTTATAAAGATAGTGTATTCATATGTAACTGGAAATGGTGCATGCATGTCACAAGTACTCAATATATATATTTTTCTCATATTTTTGGTATTATTACACTCTCCCTATAGAAGTAAAGACAAAGAACAAACATTCAAGAAACAAACAATAACATGTTTAATTGGGAAATTCACACATTATGCAACAAAACTTCCAAGGCACGGCAGCATGAGTAAAAAATATAGGGACATTCCTTGTTTGTGTTTAATTTTTTATTTTTAATTAATGTACTTTTATTTGTACAAGTTTGTAATACATAATGATTATATTTCTCATGGGGAATGTGTACATGTACACAACACATTTTAATTCTTTCTTTGTTCCTCTTCCCTCCCATCCCTTCCTGCTTCCTCCAAATCTTAATCCCATTCCCATTTGAAAATGCTGTACTTCCATTTTAAAAAAATTTTTTTTTATTGGTACTGGGGATCGAACTCAAGACTGCCTGCTTGCAAGGCAGGCGCTTATGCCGCTGAGCTAAATCCCCAGCCCCTGTACTTTCATTTTTAAAAAATCTTTCCAAATCCTTTTCCTTCTTCCCTCTCCCATCTCTTGTCCATCATCCCATTTGAAAAAGATCTCCCCGTTTCCTTTTATTTTACTCTTTATTTATATTTTGGGTTTCTCTGCTATATGGTCCATTAGCCATGATTTTATTTGTATTCTAGACTGTAAAATGTGCTACTGCCTTAGCTCATGCTGAGGTCACAAGCTTAATCTTCAATCCTAACAGCTTTGCTCACCCTGGACTTATTCCAATCATACCAGGCACCAGCTGGCAGTGTGCACATGCTTGTAAAAATACTTCATATTTTGAACAATGTTGTCAGTATGGAAAAACCACAGAGTCACAGTTTTCCTCTCTCTTCTGTCTCCACTGTCACTTCCAGCCCCTTTTGCAGCTGATTACTTCCTGTCCGCGGTTCTTGCTTCACTTCCGGGTCACCACTTCTCCTGCTGCCTGGACCACCAGCCTTCTCTCTCCACGCCCCTTCCACTAGAGGCTCCATTAACCCCTATGTCTTTGAAGAATCAACTCAAAATGGACTAAACCCTGACACCCTAGATCTTAAACTATAAACTCTTGGAAGAAAACATAGAGGAAAACCTTCTTGCACTATAACTTAGAAATTATTTTATGGATATGACATCGAAGTAGATTTTTAAAAACCCTAAAAGATAGACAAGTGGGGATACATCAAGCCAAAACGAATCAGCAGAACAAATGAAACAACAAATGAAAGACAGCTTATGGAATGGTGGAAACTTTAGCAAACCATATATCAAGTAAGAAGCAAATTTCAAAAATACATAAATAATTTATTGCCTGATTGAAAAATGAGCCAGAGTTGAATACATATTTCTTCAAGATGACATAGAAATGGCCAACAGACATAAGGAAAGCTGTTCAATGTCACCAACCACCAGGAAATGCAAATGAAAACTACAGTATGTCTGGTAAAATGGTAATTACAAAAATACAAACTAACAAATAAAACCATTGGTGAAGATTGAGAAACTGTAACTCTTGTACATTGGCAGTGGGAATATAGAATAATGTATTCTGTAAGAGAACTGGTGTGGTGGCTCCTGAAAAAATGGGATGAGGAATGACCACGTGATGCCGCAGTGTCCATCCTGGTATTTATGCAGAAGCATGGAAGCAAAGGCCTGAAGAGGTCAAGGTACCACAGTGTTAGCTGCAGCACAATCCATAATCTTGGAGGTGTGGAAACCACCTGAAAATTCATGGGCAGATCACTGGACAAAGAAAATGTGATATATAATGCAATGAGATATTATTCAGCTATGAAGTGAACATTGTTTTGTAATGTGAGAAAACAGATATAGATCCTGAAGATATGCTACACGAAGTAAGCCGTTTATAGAACAAATGCTGCATTGTTCTGATTATACAAAGTGTCTGAAATAGACTCACAGGTGTAGAGAGGAGAATGGGGGTGATCAGAGACCAGAGATAGGGGGAAAGGGCAGATATTGTTCAGTAAGTGTATAAAGTTTCAATCATGTGACATGACTGAGTTCCTGAGATCTGCTGTATTTCATAGTGCCTATAGTTAATACCCTAATTTTTACCTGAACATTTATTAAGAAGGAAAATATCACATAAAGCATTCTTAATAATAAAAACTCCAAGTATATGATATAAAAATAACATGATAGGTGAAATGCTGTGTGATAAAATCATGCTCTGCCTATCCAAATGTTCTGAGAGTGACAAATACCTATGTGGTGATTTGCTTGAGAAGAATAGTCCAACATAATGGTTCATGGAGCAGCTTAAGAACACATTTCTTAAGGAAATTATTTCAGAAGATATTTCAGTGACTCCTTCATTATAGTCTGAAAATGGTGCTAAACATTTATATTTGAAAGGTGGAAACATAAAGCCATGTAAACAAATGGCACGATGCACACTGTGATGTTGAAAGATTACACCTTCCAGAGCGTGAGATATCATCATCCTCCATGTACATTAGGGCTTCTTTGTATCCCTGGCAACACATCAATGGTTCTGCACAAACATGGAGCACATTCTAGTGTGCTTCAATGCTGTTTCAGTGATATTTCTTTGCCATAATCAGACTAGCTTAAGATGATTTTTTTCCACAAGTTAAATTTGGTAAGGATTTTCTTTTTGACGATTGTTCAAATTACCAATTTCTCCATTTCCTACAGCTATGGTAAATTACTACTGAAAAGAGAAGTATGGCTTTGTAGGTGCCAGTAGAACATTCGCTACAGTACATATTATATGTAGTATTTTATAAGTATTTCTATGAGTTTAGGGACATAGATATCCAAGCCATCACCTTGCAATGTATTTTATTTGGAGTTACGTCATCCTTAAGATCATCCAATGTCCTCTTTTGGCAGATAGGAAACAAATGTAAACATTTAGCGTGGTACAGTGAAGTATTTGTAGAAATTGCTGCTGCCTACTTTCTCTCTACGTAAGACACAAAATCCTCACTACACTACAGAGACCGACTGTTCTTCAGTTTTATTATCAATTAATATTTTATTCTAGAAAGTGTTGGTGAAATGTTTCCCTTGCTTTAGAAACATGGAAATTATGTTCTCATGAATAGCAAGCATTTGACTTTTATTCTGAATACTACTCTTTGGATACATCTTTATTTTTCAAATATCTTATTATAGTTTTTGGCATGCTTTCGTATTTCCTTTTTGCTAATAGAAATTCTATATTTTTAATACAATCAAATTTATGAATTTGTTTTTATTGTTTAAGCTCTTTCCGCTCAGTGAAAGAACACATGTTCTAGATGCATTTTATCAGTATATTCTTTTATGTTTTCTTATGTGATTTGTGAATTTACATCTTACATTTGGGTATTTATGCCTTACAAAAGAGTTGTTATTTTTTTTCTGAGTAGGTAGTAGAACTTCCCAGAAAAATTTATTGGAGAGGCAGTCATGTCCTCAATAAACCTCTGCAGCAGCTCAGTTATGAATTAAGCTTTAATATATGCATGCATCTGCTTCTAGGCTATATATTATATTAAATTACTTTGGTTGTTTATCTTTGTGCCAAAGCACTTTATCCCAACTGCTGTAAATTTTCTTATATGATAGAGATTTCCTACCACATTGTCATTCTAATTCAGAACTAAATTATTTATTCCATTTGCTCTGATATTAGATTGCAATATCTACCGTAATATGTATTTTCTTGGAAATCACTTGCCTCTTTTACTTTTCAATCTTCATGAATCATATTGTTTAGATTGTGAGGTTTTTGTTGTAGAATGAACTTTCTGGGTGCAATGCTTCATTGAAGCTGTAAGTCCATTCACATTAAATGATATACACTATGTTTTGCGTGTCACTTTTTTGAGCTAATTATTATCTTTTCCTAATAAAGTTCAAATCTGCGTGTGCATGTCTGTATATGTAAGGCATATATCTATATGTTGTCTTTTTCCAATTTTTAAGAGAATAGGTGTATTCATACCACTACATTTATACGATAGTGAGGTTCAATTGTTATGAAAGGTCACCCAATATAGATGCATTATTTTAAAAGTTCACAGTTTACATTATAATTTGCTTTTTAAGTTGTACAATTCCATAGGTTTTGAGAAATGCATAATGCCACAGAACCACCACTCCAAGGTCTTGCACAGTAGTTTAATTAGCCTTGCAACACGTTGCGCTCTACCTGTTCATGTCATTTTTCTCTTTCTTGATTACCTGGCAACCACTGCTATTTCTATTGCTTCCTGTTTTGCCTTTTGTAAAATTTTGTATTTCAAGTTGCAACCATACACTATGCAGTCTTTGCAGACTGGCTTCTTTTACTTCCCAATACCCATTATCAATGTTTTTCTATGTCTTTTGTAACTCAATAACATTTCTGTTTATCAGTGATTAATATTCCACTGTATGGATGGAGCATAGCTTACCAGTTCACCTGTTGAAGGACATCAAGATTGCATCTAAATTTTAGCAATTATTAACAAAGCTGCCATAAATATTTGTCTGAAGACATTTGTGTAAACGTAAGTTTTCAACTCCTCTTGAATAGATAATGAGGACAGTATGATAAGATAATATTTCTACCAAGCTGTTTTCAAGTGGCTGTACTATGTTGCATTCCCACCAGTGTGGAAGAGAGTTTCTGGGGCTCCGTGTTCTCACCAGCGTTTGTGGCAGTGCTCTGTATTTTGGTCATTCTAAGCAGTCTGTGCTTGTATCTCACTCTTGTTTCAATTGTAGTACTTTAATGATGTAGGACATTTTCATGTATGTATTTGCCATATTATACATAATGTG